GGAACCAAGAAAGAGGAAAAACCTAATGTTAACGAAAAAAGATTCAAAAAGTGCAAACCAAAATAATAATAAAAAAAAAACATAAAACCGTCGACGTTACAAAAAAGGGTCCGAAAACCTAAAGCAAAAGACAAAGATGAAACCCACGACTAAGGAACGACAAAACTTCGACACAAACAAGGATAAAATGGTGGTTCGATGAACAATGCTCTTCCGTTAAGAAGGTCTAATAAACGAAAATGCAGTTTAAACCCTTAAAACAAACCCGCAAAACTAAATTCCAAAAGGAGCTTTTTCACGTCACTTTTTTTCTATTAAAAAATCTTATCAACTGGACTAATGACTTTTTGACACGTTTCAGTGATAAAAGGTTATAAAAAAATATGTCAATATATTATTACCTAACGCAAAATGACGAGTTTTTGCATCAAACTAGACAAATATGCCTTCAATATTATTAAAATGGGCAAATTTTGATCCAAAGTGAAGTCGTTTGGGCCCCATGACTTCTTCATTTTCGTAATTTCGGTTGAATTTGACCACTTTGATAATATTGAAGCCAAATATGCCTAGTGAAAAAACCAAAATGACGTCTTCCATTACTAACACGATGTAGAATTGAATGTACGGCCAACGAGACTGAAACTAAAGTAACATTGACTAAATGAGAAAAGTATGTTAACTCTTTTAATTATGGAAAATGATATTTTAACAATCATACGAACACTTTCCGAAAAACAATTGATACATGCATATCTTTTCATCGTATGGTTTTCAATGAATGTTGCTAAATACCATATAGAGATTATACTAACATGCAACATCACGACCCTGGCACTCACAGTATGTAGTTTTTTATAAGAAATATTTCACTACAACTAAAGGGAACTAAATCTTAAGCACAAGGAATGCTCAAGAATAGAGAATCGGAACATGCGAAAACAAAAATATAATAATCTGTTTCATGATACCAGAAAGCATAATGTGGGTGAGACACATACAGACACCCAACCTGACATGAAACTGAAAAACCCTTCAAACAGAAGAAACTAAGAATCACAGATATTTTGAAAGAAAACGTCATATTAGACCTTCTAATTGGAAGTGTATTCATTAAACAGCTCGTCGATACTCTCAGACCTTGCTGTTCTGAATGCTTCCACAGCCACCATAATATCATCTTGTAAGTTTGATACCCAACCTTCTATTTCCTTTTGACTTTGGCCACTAGCTCCCATGATACTATTATCACTCTTATATGAAAGTGAACTTTCCTTATTCCTGATATGTGGAGTATTAGAAACTCCAGGAAGCATTGGAATGCTCAAAGTGGATACAGATGACCGAAAATCATTATTTGTGGCAAGCACGAGGGCATACATGTTATACGCTGTGTTGTTTTCGGTTGGAATTTTTCTCAAAATGAGCCCAGACAGTTGCGAGGATCCAAGTTGCAACATAGATCCTCTGGCTTCAGCTTCAAGTCGATCACCCTCCCATTGAGCCTCGTGGCTTATATTGTTGGTGTCCTTTGTTTTGTCATGGCCATCACCATTGGTTTCAAACGTGTTCTTTTTTATTGTTTTGTTGGTAATGGGATCTAAGCCCATTCTGATGAGTCTTTTCTTGATCTTGGTATTCCAATAGTTCTTGATCTCATTGTCGGTTCTTTGGGGAAGGTGAGCTGCTATGATGGACCATCTGTGTGTGCAATAGAGAAACATGATTAGCTTCTGAGAAATAGATGATTAACGTTTTGATTTACTAATACGAAAGTATGAAAACCAAAAGAAGGTCACCTGTTTCCAAGAAGAGCATGAAGTTGAATGATTGAGTGGTCTTCCTCGGCGCTGAAGTTTCCTCTTTTGATATCAGGTTTGAGATAGTTAATCCACCTCAATCTGCAACTCTTTCCACATCTTTGAAGACCTAGATATATATAAATCATACATATGTAACAAATAAAATCGGGATTTGAACCTTTGAATCCTCAATATCAACAACATGCACACTCATTGATTGAGAAAAAAAGGGTACACGGAAGTTGTTATTATACCCGCTTTGGCAGGCACTGAACGCCAGTTTCCATGACCATGATTCCGAACGTAGTCGAGGAGCTTCCTGTCTTCTTCTGGAGTCCATCGTCCTTTCTTCAACCCTACCTTCTCACAACATGGCATCCTTCCCATTTTCAATGCCGAACTGTTGTAAGGTAACCCGAATCAGTCATATGCATACATAGAAGGATATATTGGAAGAGTACAGCAGTAGGTGATTGTTACTATAATACGTATAAAAACCGTACCCTAAGTGAAAACCTTTGGCTTAAATTTTGTTTCTGTCATCTTTAAGAAAATGGGGTCAGGATCAAAGTGGTAGGTCTGTAAACTCCCTATTCCCATTTCCTTTTCAGTTCCTGCTTTTCTTTATTATTATTATTTCAATATATTCATATTTATTACTTACCTGTTTATCATGTTTTCTAACTTTATGCTGTTATCCTTGAGTATTTGCTCGTCTATTTTTAAGAATACGAGTGTTAGAGATATCAGATCTTTAAAATTAGATTTGATCAAAATATAAATATTTTGAGGTTGAATTAAATTTAAATAATTTAATCATTTTGTGAGGTTGAATTAAATTTAAACAATTTAAGGTGATGAAAGTGAGATTTACTGAGTCTATAACACCACTCTTAGCAGACCTTCCTAAAACATTTAGTAAACAAATTTCACTTTGAATTATCCAAAATAGAGTACTGATATACTGAAAATTCTCTTTAAGAAAAAAAGACATCTTAAGCATTCCAATTTTAAAAGTTGTTTTGAAAATATATTTTTCCATAAGACAAATGTTTATAAATAAGTAGAAGCTAGACAAGTACTTTTCACATTACTATTATCCGTGCTTCCCAACTGTGTATGAACAGGTTAATGTCCCCCAACATTACGTCCGCTGAAAATTATCATTATCAGTTAGCTTTGTCTTAATGTGAGAATCGATAATGATATATAAAATAGATGTGTTTGTTGTCGAATTTTGTGATGGGTTAATCTAGGTCGAAAGTCGTAACGAGTTGGTGTTTAGTTAAATTAATGCTTCATTATTGGTTTAGAAAAAAGTAAAATTACAAAGTGAATTTATTTTGATTTTCTAGCACTTCATTGTATCAAAATAACAATGTAATTGATTATAAAGTCGTAGGATAAAAGAGACAAAGATTCATTGGAGTTGGATCTAATAAACTAAACCTGATCAAATAATCTTTACAATACAATTTTTAACATACTCCAACGTTCACATCATAGTTTCACTGGTCCTAATACCTTAGAAACTAGTACTAATAATCTTTATGGTTTATTGTACTTACTCCTACCATCGATGGTCCATATACCATACTTGTCCTACAATCCTACAACCCAAAAAGGCCCACCATTTATATACTAGTTGCACACATAACAAACATTGTGTTCCCTACCATGATCCCTCTGTTAATCACATTTTCATATGTTGTTACTCTGTGAAATAGGACTCTCCCCATACAAAATATTGTGTAGAAAAGACGACATTTAATTTCCAAAGTAATTCAAATAAGTTGTGGTCTTCTTCTCTAATCTCATCCTGAGATTTCTTATACGGTGATTTAAATATATATTCTTGTGTTTCTTCATGTTCCAAACCCACTTAACTTCAATATTTTTAACTTTATATATGACCTTTATCCCTTTCATATTGCCATATAGCTTTCCTTAGTTTCTAGTTTCGTGAACCCACTTGTTAGTGTTATGTTATCTACATTAGAGATAAAAACAAATTTTATGTGTCCTACCATAACATTAGATTCAGTAGTCTCCGACAGTACTTCTTGGAAAAACCCTTTTACCTTGCTTTTCACAGTAGTGGGGGTCCTCAAACCACTGTCCTAAGCTTTCAGAACCATTAATCTCAGTCCTATATCTTCTACAATCCGTAGCATGAAAATACCTAGAGTTTAATTACCCAATTGAATCCTCCAGTTCGTAGCTTTTACTTTTATTTTTTTATAGGTTTAATAAAAGAAAAAGAACTATTATATAGTTGGCAAGTAAATTAAAGTTTGATTCCAAACTCGCCTGCATATTTATAGAAAGTATCAGGTATCAGACCTTCCAATGCAGTGGCGCAGTTAAATAGTTTAGGAACTGATGTAATAGTATCTATCATTAAATATTCATGTACTTCCTTTTTTTTCTAGTTTGACTAATTGCAGTCCTTTATTTTTTAAGTTTGATATTACCATTACCCTTAACAAGATGTAGCTTTAGGTTAATTGTTCAAAGAAAACATAAATAAATGTACATTCAAAACAGTCCTAACATCTATGCACTTTTTTTATATGAAAATGAGTAAATTAATTATCATAATATAATATTTGAGAAAAATTGAGAATATTTTCATTACGTAAATGTCACTAGTGCAGAAAGGAGTATAGACGTCCGTTCTGTGGGTCTTTTAACGTCCGACGACCTCCCGACGTCTTTGTGGGTGACGTCTATGTAGACGTCCGTTGTGTGAGGACGGACGTCTATGTAGACGTCCGTTGTGTGAGGACGGACGTCTATGTAGACGTCCGTTGTGTGAGGACGGACGTCTATGTAGACGTCCGTTCCGACACAACAAACGTCTATATAGACGTCTGTTTGTGTCGAAACGGACGTCTATATGGCTGAACGAGTTATTTAGGATTACGGGGTTTGGACGTTTGTTTGTGCACTGCCACACGTCTGAAGAGCATATTCGAAATGAAAATGGAGGGAAATGGAGGAGTGCACGACCTAAAACGTAGGCCAAAAAACGCCACCCAAGAACACGCAACCAACTGTACCAAAACGCACCGAAAACGACTTTTAATCTGTCCAAATGAAAGATATTTCATCACTGAACAATTTAATCGGAATAAAAGTAAGATTAAATGGTCCAAAACAGATAAAAACCAACCTGGAAATGCAAGGCGCAGAGCGAACTCTCACGGGTTCGCGTAACTCCTCGCGGGTTCGCGTTTTGGTGTGTATGTCCTTATTTTAAACGTCTTTTGAACGTCCGTTGTGGAGGGAGCCGAACGTCTATAATGTAGTAGATGTCCGACCCCCTCCAGAACGGACGTTCAAGAGGCTGACAGGGTAGTTGAACCCGTCAGCCTTTTGAACGTCCGTCCTGGAGGGGGCCGGACGTCTCAATATTATAGACGTCCGACCCCCTCCATAACGGACGTTCAAAAGGCTAAAGCAATCAACTCTTCAACTCTCTCGTCAGCCTTTTGAACGTCCGTTAGACGGGGTCGGACGTCTATAATATTGTAGACCTTCGGCCCCCTCCAGGACGGACGTTCAAAAGGCTGATTGGTTCAACTACCCTGTCAGCCTCTTGAACGTCCGTCTTGGAGGGGGCCGAACGTCTACTATATTATAGACGTCCGGCCCCCTCCAGGACGGACGTTCAAAAGGCTAACGGGTGGAGTTGAAGAGTTGATTGCTTCAGCCTTTTGAACATCCGTCCTGGAGGGGGCCGGACGTCTATAATATAGTAGACGTTCAAAAGGCTGACGGGTTCAACTACCTTGTCAGCCTCTTGAACGTCCCCGTTCTGGAGGGAGCCGGACGTCTATAATATAGTAGATGTCCGACCCCTCTAACGGACGTTCATGAGGCTGACGGGAGAGTTGAAGAGTTGATTGCTTCAGCCTTTTGAACGTCCGTCCTGGAGGGGGCCGGACGTCGGGCCGGACGTCTATAATATAGTAGACGTCCGGCCCCTGGACGTTCAAAAGGCTGACGGGAGAGTTGAAGATTTATAGACGTCCGGCCCCCTCCAGGACGGATGTCTCCACACTCAATTATTTACATTTATGCCACCGGTCAATTATTTACGTTGAAATTTTGGTGGACGGACGTCTATGGACTGACGTTAAAGGTCAATTTTGCACTAGTGTGTGAATAGAAGAGTTAGAAAAGTAAGTGTTCACCATATTTTTCAAATAAGTAGTACAAAAAATTACTGATTTCAAGTTTAATGTTCGAAAGGGCTGGAAAGTGAATGAATAGGTTGGTTAATTGTTTTTGTCTCTACAACAGTAGCATATAAAAATTGTAAAGTTATTTCTTAATTTACTAATCAACCATTTTTATTTTTTAGCTTGTTTTCATTATCAGTTTTAATGCTAACCAAATAATTAATAATATTTATATATTGTCTAGGTCTTATACTCTTGTTAATGTAACAAAACTGTAACAACGGGAAACATAAACTATAAATCAGATATGAAAAAGCTTACACATAATTTATTTATCCATCACCTAATTTAAGGCAATTCTGGGGTTTGAATAGGGTTGTTCCTAAGGCCATGGCATTAATAGGCCTGCAGCTTTTGAAGTGATACACTTGTTGTCAAGAACCCTCTCCTTTAATTAACGTTTGTTTATAAGCCAAAAATCCCAGTAAAACAAAAATGGTTGAAATGATGAGTAATTTACCTTTTTTTTTTAATGTATAGAGTTAATAGTATGAAATATCATGGATTTTTTTTATTAAAATTTGACGTACTAAATTTATCGTCATAAACCTATATATATACACAGCATGTAGATATTTCATTCTTCCAAGGTTTTCTTTGCTGCGTCTGGAAGTTACCCTTGGTGATTCCTTACATCCGAGTATTATATAACATGCATACAAAAACATACTGATTGCTATTATCTCTACTTTCTGTTTCTATTTCTGCCACATAACTATAGTCCTTCAATTAGATGCTTTGGTTGATCCTTTTTCTCATGATGTATAAGCCATTCCCTCCCACCAACACTACACTTTGCAGATTTTGTCAGGTATATTGAGGCTCTTCCCTGCATGAGATAAATATTACCCTTCAAACCCCTCTTCCTACACGCTGACATCTATATTAAATATATTATATTTAATGATTAGAAAGAGAAAGAGATAAATTAAGTGTAAAAGTTACGAATATCAAAATATCAAGATCAATTTGTTTCTTTTCGCATCAATTATAGATCAGTTGTGGATGACATTATAGATCAATTATTTCTAAGTTTGAGCCAATAGAAAATGAATGCTATATTTTGCAAATTGTGAAACAGAATATTAGAGATGAATTGAAAATAAGAAATTACATTTTTCTGTGGTATCAAATAAAAAA